CACTACTGGAATGCATTGCTCTGGCATCAGAGCCCAAGTTCTCAGTCCCTATATTATAAAAGCATGAAGAGACGGGATACACAGGGAGACTAGGGATACGTTTAGATAAGTGTCTAAACATGAGCAAAGGAGTAGCAGGTTGTAAGGCCAGATATGTGGGCAGGAGCCAGATTCTGAACTTGAATGCCAAGCTAAGCAGTTAGGTTTATTACACAGGGGTTGGGGAGCCAAGACAAGCATTTAAGCCTTCAAGTCACTTAATGAGCACCGCATTTTAGCAGAATTCTTCACAAGTGATGAGAAAGGTGGGCAGGACTGTGAGGTCCTGAAGAGAAGGAGGCTATTTCAAAAGCCAGAGATGAGGCACTGGATGGAGAATCGGGGGCTGGGTGGAGAGATTCTCCTGAGGTATCGCTGACACGGTGTGGTGGGGGACGAGGTCTGGGACAGGGGGAGAAGAGGAAATAAGAAGACACCAAGTTCATAACTTGACATCAGTATTCATCTCATTTCTCATCAATCAGGATAAACATGTGAGGACAGGTCACTGGAGAGCAGGGACTGCCTGAGTCATGCTCCTCGTCTATTGTGCAGCAGCCTCGTCAACCTGGCAAAGCCATAATCTTCTCCAAGGCAGAAATGACTCCAGGGATCCTGTGTCCACATGTCCACTCAGCACTCGCTTCAGTACTGGTCACACAACACAATTCACCAAATACTTGCTAAATAGCAAAAGTGTGCGAGACCCTGTACTCAAAAAGTGCCTGCTGACCAAAGGTAGAAATCACGAAAGAAAATGTGAACAGGGTTTACTGCACAAAATTTTAAAGTATCTGTAATTAACAAAAGAAGAAAGAGAAACGGCTAGTATAAATTTTAAAGTTTCACTTTACTAATAATCCAGCAAATGCAAATTGAAGTAGATACCCTTTTTTGCCCATCAAACTTTAAAGACTTTTTACACACCCCACCAGTCCTCCCCTCTCCCTCTCTTCGCTGGAGCAGATGAGAGCAGAGAACCCAGGGCAGGGCTCTGGAACGCTAGGAGACATCACAGCCACTTGATGGAGAGACACTGGTCCTTGAGTTGACTGTTCACCACATGGCAGAGCTCCCAGGAGAGCCGCCTGACCACCGGCAGGGCAAGAAATGAACCTGCTAAGATTTGAAGTTTTTCTTTTCCTGGATAACTAATATAGAGATAATTTCATTTAACCTTGAAAATAACTCATTAAGGAGTGAATTCCCAGTCTGGAAGTTGAGTCAGTGAAATCAAGAACCTTGCTTATGGGTCTATAATTAGTGAGTGGTGGAGCCATAATTAAAACCCACATATATCTGGCTTCAAAGTCCATGCACCGTGCAGTACACGTTCCACAATCAGACCGTTAGAGGCGGTCATCATTCTGAGCACCAGCCCCATGCATTCACAGAATGCCCTTGGCATGCACAGTGCCTGGAGGACTTAGTTCCTTATTCCCTGAAAGATCATCATTAGCTTCCACAGCGTGGGTTTCTCTTCCTACCTAGGGTCACTACTGTGCAGGCGAGAACGACACTGCCACATCAACATCTGTGTATCGTATCAGTTTTCTCTTACGTAAAAATGGATGGTAAAATCTACTTCAAAAATCTGGTGAGAAGATTAAAGTCTTAGCCCACAGAACAAAGTTGATACTGTTTCAAAAGTCAGCTTTCTAAAATACAAGCTCCATCACAGTAAATCCTCTCCGGTCTCCTAAACCGGGCTCCAGTACCATCGTCAGGAAGCTGCCCAGACTACCTGATGGTAGTTCCCTGCGCTCTCCCTCCCTGCTTCCTGCACACCTTTGCACAGACTGATATTATTTCATTCTTCACATTGTAACCTAAGCATTCCTATACTTTCCCATCTCCCTCACTGTACTGGAAGACACCTGGGAATGGGGTGACGTGAAAGGAATCAGAACGTGCCACCCCAATGCCACTTTGGCATATTGATTATTTTCAGCTGAAGGCAACTGAGAAAAAGCTGATGCAAGAAGAACAGGGGAATCAGAACTCCCCCTTTCTATGTGAAAAGAGGGCCTAAAATTTCCCATCAGAAAAGCACCTTCCCTGTACCAGGAAGAGGAAAACATTCTTATCACAAGAGACAGTCAACACCTAGACAAATTTATTTTTAAAAATCTCCTATTTTCCATTAGTTTTCCCATATGTTTCCCCGTCACTATTCCACAATTTACCACCCCCATCCTAAACTTCTTTATTACAGTTCTACAATTTATCCGTGTTTATTAAATTGGTAGACGAGCTTTCAGGCACATCTCCTTCCCAGGGACATTTTATTGTATATAAAGCCTTCTGTGTACACATTAATAACATTAACATCAAATAAAAATTGTATGCTTTTCTCCTGTTAATGTATCTTTTATCAGTTTGATTATCAGGCCCAGGCATAAAAGCTAAGGGAGGCAGAGAAAAGTCTTTCCTATAATGTCAAAACCATGTTCAGGGCCAGCAGATAGCAGAAAGTGTTTTATTAAAAAAAAAAAAAAAAAGTCCATCCTTTTACACTCGCAACAACCCCAAGGCAATTATTATAATTATACGCACACCAGAACTTGAGCAAACTGAGCCTTCAAGCGGTAGTGACTGTCTAAAATCATATGCAGGAGGCCAACCTGTAACTGAACTCAGGCCCCTGGGTGAAACCTCTACTCTCCTCTGCTCCATTAGTCCATCTAGACAGAAGTCTAGAAAGAAAGTGACTTCTCAAAAGTGTGCAAAGGTGGTCAGGCCTGAATGGTATTAAGACATGTGAGAAAGTTATCACCTGGGAAAGAATAGGGAACCGTTTTAAAGGATAAGGAAGGTTAGCAGACCTGGGTCTAAATCCAGGATTGCTCTGTCCTTGACCCTGTGCCGCCTTGGGCTTCAGCTTCCTCATCTGGACAGCGGGTTTTAGAACAAAGACACTCACCCTTTACAGTTTTACACAAGACTAAAAGAATAAAAATGTTTTATTAAAAATTAAAAAGAACAAGAGAGTTATACAATACATACTGAGGATGTAGTAAGGATCAACTAAAGTCATTATAGGCCAGGAAAAAAAACCAGCATCTATTGGGTTTTAAATGCCCATTCCACAAAGTATTTTTCATACCCTGTCTTATTTCACCCCCACGGTGACCTTGCAGAGTAGAAACCATTACTTTGATCACTGAGGAAACTGATAGTGAGTGAGGAAACTAAGAATCAAAGACGTTTAAGTAAGTCATCCCAAGTCTCGTAGACGGGAGCCAGCATTCAGAGCCCCCAGCCTGTGCTCTTTGCAATATACCTGTCTGCAGCCCAGATTAGTTCCAGTGGAGAAAAGATAAGGAGGACTCAGATATGCCCCATGTCTGAGGTCCATATGAAGTGCCAGAAAAAAAGAAGACTGGGTCGCACTCAAGTGCATGAAAGATGTCTGGAACACGGTCAGGATGAGGCAGGACAGAAACCAGGAGGGAAAGGACAGCCACCAACAAATGACATGCTCATCAAGTCCCTCACTGCAAATATCACAGTAAGCAGTAGAGATGACTCACATTCACCTCTCAGTCCGTGATCCCAGAGTCTTCAGGTTTCAGCTCCCCTAATAGAATACCCGTGTGTTATTCCCTCAGGATTTTGCTACCATTTGTTATGTCCTAGAAACATGTTGTGCAAGAAAAACAGAAATTTCAGAAAGGTCACAAGAAATGTCTGATGTCCTGGGCGGCGCCTGTGGCTCAAAGGAGTAGGGCGCCATCCCCATATGCGGGAGGTGGTGGGTTCAAACCCAGCCTCTGGCCAAAAACTGCAAAAAAAAAAAAGTAATAAAAGAAATGTCTGATGTCCTTCAATCAAAGAAAAGGAAACAAATTTAAGTAGGTCAGTTTCTTATTTGCTTCATTAAATCAAGGTATGTTGAAGGATGATTCAGGTAACTACAATAGATGACTTCAGATCATCCTCCAGAGGAACAAATACTACTTCATAACTACACAACAATAAAAACTTGTTTTCTGGTGTTTTCCTCTGTCACACACTGCCCCCTAAACTTGGAACAAACAGGCCTTTGTTCTGCAGTCAAGGCCCAGGAACCCTTTCTGCTGGGAACGTTTTTGATTCATGCGGTCAGGTTAGGCACTTGCAGAAACAGTAGTGCGGAAAATCAGGTGGGTGCAGGGCAGTAGGACGGAAAGTTCTTCTCAAATGAGTCCCTTCTCAAATGACACCGAGTCCTCCCACCTAAGGCCACAGACTGTGAACCCAGAAAGATGCGCAATCCAGACTAAGAATCTAGACTTCGGGAGAGAAAACTCCACAAAAAAGGGGCAGCTGAGCGGACTTCGATGGGGCGTGAAGTCATTTTGTCTGTTCAAATTTATGAGCATAAGGAGAGTCTGAGGATTTCTACTAATAAATGCTTCCTCCTCTGAACTTTTCCCAAGTAGAGTTAATGGCACATAGAGCCAGCAGATGCCATTGAGAACTCATTGCTAAGGTACTACCTGTAACTCACAAGTTTCTGTCTTCCCAGGATCAAATGCTCGTGGAACCTCCCTCCACCCTGTCTCCCCTCCATTCAACGCAGTATGCACCCCCCCAACCAAAACACGCCAAGCCACTCCTCCCCTCGAGTGTCCCCCGAAAGGCCTCGAGCTGGGCAGAGCCGCGGGACCCGAGGGAACACCCCTCCTCTCCCCCCCACCCCATTATTCGGCAGGCAGCCCTGCTCTCCCCTGGAGCCCACAGTCCGCAGCTCCTGCGGTGCAGGCGAGAGCAGGCAGGGATGGTGGGAAAAGAAGCTGTGCCAGCTGCATGTTTCAGAACCTCCCTCCATATGCATTTGCCAAAGGAACAAAAAAGAAAATCAATGCCAGGAAAAGACAACTGAGACGAGGATGCGGTGGTACCGCGGCTGACTCCGCGCCTCTGGGCAGCAAGGGGCTGGCCAACCACGCGTCCGAGCCGCAGATCCGCGCCGTTACCTTCAGGATGCAGGCCATGGCGCTCGGCCGGCCCTCCTGCCACCGAGCGGCGGGCGCGCCTGGGTCAGGGGCAGTCCCGGCGGCGGGCGGGAGGCTGGTACCGCGGCAGGACCGCTCCAGCCCACATTCCCGCAGATCCAAACAGGCGGACCGCGGTGCTGGCTGCGCGGCCACAGGCCCCGCCCCCCGAGCCGCGGCCCCGCCCCCGGCCCCGGCCACTGGCCGGCGGCCCGCGCGGCCCCGCCCCCAGGTCACGTGCCGTCCCGGGCGCCCACGCCGGCGGCGACCCCTCCGCTCCTGCCTCTTTTTCTTTTTTCTGTGAACATTCTGCGGTTCGGTTTGCGAGAGGTTCGCTCCGCATCAGACGGGGATCTGGGTCCCGCTAGGGAAGGGGAGCAGCCTCCTCTCCTCCTGGGCTCCGCGCACACATCAGGGAACTCCCCGGAGACAGGTCACACTTTGTAAGAAGTGTCAGGGGTTTGGCGTCGCGCCTCCGCAGACCTTGGGCACATCAAAGGATTCTTCAAAACTAGCAACGGAGACCTATCTCCCTGGACTGTTTAAGGATAGACTAGCCTTCACTCTGCTTAAACACATGTCATGGACTTGTCTAAAAGTAGTATTTTATCTTTAATAAGGGGGGAGCACACACTTACCAGCGGGACACCATGAACCCTTCTCCGCTGTGTGTGTGGGTATATATAATTGCCCTTTGCCAATGCGAGTTCGTTTAGGAAAGTGTAAATGCACAGAAGTGGACAGACAGGAAATGTACACGTGTATCATTGCAGTACACATGATGTACATGTTGATTGTATGGTATACAAATATAGTGTGTGTGTACATGTTGATTGTATGGTATACGAATATAGTGTGTGT